CTACGAGGGTTGGGTCTGACACACGTGGGGCTGCTGCCTCGCTTTCTGGGGCTGGGCTGGGCTGGACTGGGTGTGGAGCCTCCTCACTGCTTCTTCCCCCACAGACATCAGGAGCACCCACCCCAGGGCACTTGCTGTCATCCCGCGCTCTCCAGCCCCTTGCTGGCCAGCCGGGTTCACTGAGCTCAGGCCTCAGCAGGTGGAGGCTGGAGGGGAGTTAGAACTATGGATGCCCCACTCCTCTCCCTGAGGACGCATGCAGGCAGAGGCGTGCCTGGCTCGGTAAGCCACGGTCCGCCTACAGAAACAGCAGAAGGATGGAGGAGGAGGGCTGGCTGGGGATGGGCACAGGCCTGCCCACAGGTGGAATCTGACCAGCCCCAGCCTGGAGGGTGGGAGAGGCCAAGGGAGCCTGATGGGAGGCATCCTGGCATGCCTGGCTGGCCAGTGACAGACTGGAGATCGTGGGACGGTGGCAGCCACCCTGGGATGAGCAGTAGATGGGGTGGGCACTCCCAATGTCCATGGGGGAAGAAGCCATGAGGAGACTCCATGCCCAGTCCAGCCCAGTCCCAGCATGGCACGGAAAGCGAGGCAGCAGCCCTATATGCATCCCCGTGCACGAGCGAGCCCCTGCCCTTCCAGGCAAGCGGAGCTGTGGCATCTTTGGCAGAAGAGCGCAGGCGGCCAGTGGAAGGCACGAGGAGCCGTGATCCCAGCACAGCTCCTCCTCCCCCCCTCAGAAGAGCTGTGCGGCTCAGGAGCCTCCCCCCATGCCCCACATCCACTGAGCAAGATGCCCTCCTGCCCACTGCCTCACCCGTCAGAGCAACATCAAGTTGGCCACACCCACCCAGGCCATGCCCACCCAGTTTGCCATTTCCACCATAGCCACGCCCACCTGGCACTGGGCGATACATAAGTGGGTTTTGGGTTGCAGTTTGGACACTCGGTCTCTAAAAGGTTCGCCATCACTGACCTATTCTATTACCTGAACATTTGGTTTTTCTTGCCCAAGTGTAAAACCTTGCTTTTCTCACCATTGAATTTCATTATTGTAAGGTGGATGAAAGATTATTTCACAGAAAAGATTGTGAAACCATTATGATTTTAGATCACTTCACCTGATCAACCTGCACTTGTTACATTTTTAGAGTTGCCTAAAATTGTTTTGTTATACTGGCGGCATAGATAAATATTTCTTTTGTTAGACAAAGTAAACCAATACTTGGTTTACAAATCATCAACTTCTTGTTGTTGGAGTTCAAGTTCTAGTAACTTTTTCAGGCCTAAAATTGTGTTTGCAAGTCATGAGTGGGGATGTCTTCATCCCCTTTGTTAGAGCTCTAGATAGTTATTGTTTCTGGAAAATAAATGGTTATAATTGTGGATCCTTCTTTGATTTATCCTGATGCCTCCACATCAGAAATAATGCCTGTTCTTGTAACCAAGAAAGAAAAGCAGGATCAGTATCAGTGTCATTTGACAGCTCTTGGGTGTTGTATCCTGTGAGCAATGTAAATGCATGGGAACTATTGCCTGCAGAGGACCCTCCCCAGTTTGGCTAAATTAGAAGAATAAAACTTGGAATTTGCTACCAGTTTTTTGCTGTCTTCAAAAAAAAGAGCTGTACTAAAACTAATGGAAGTCATGGTGATCAACAGCTTGATGGTAGTTTGATTTGATTTGACACAAATAAAAAAATTACAGACCACTATCATTATTAAATGTAGACTACAAAATATTTGCTCAATATTGGCAGAAAGAATAAAGAAATTTTTGACTGAATTTATACACACAGATCAAAATGGTTTCTTACCTAAAAGACAGATAAAAAATAATCTAAGAATGATCCTTGATGTGTTAGAGCAGGTATGTCAAACTCACGATGTCACATGACATCGTGCAATGTATCAGGCCAGTTTTGCCATTGCCGGCAATGGGGTGGGCGTGGCTTCCACGTGACGCGTCCAGCCCCCGGGCCGGCAGTTTGACACCTCTGTATTAAAGTATTATGAAATTCATCCACAGAAACAGATGGCTTTAATATTCCTTGATGCACAAAAAGCATTTGACAATGTAAACTGGCAATTTATGTTTCAGCAGCTTGCAGAAATGGACTTTGGAAAAAACTTTATAAATGCAATTCAAACAATTTATTGTAAGCAGACTGCCAAAATAATTGTAAATGGAGACTCTACAGAAAACTTCAACATTAAAAAGGGCACAAAACAGGGGTGTCCATTATCTCCATTACTATTTATACTAACATTGGAAGTATTGAATAGAAACATTAGACAAGATACAGAAGTTAAAGGACTGGATATTTTTTTTAATATTTTAATTGAATTAATTGATTTATAATTTTAAAATTGTAAGCCTCCCAAAAATCACATGGTTGAGTTTGGGGATTCTAAAAATCAAATAAATAAATAAATCCATACCAGTTGATCATGTGACTATGGGGACATTGCAACAGTTGTGTGAGGACTGGTCATCCCACTTTTTTCAGCACTTTTGTAACTTTTTTTAAATAAATATTTTATTAATTTTCTATTTTTACAATCAAGTGCCCAACAGACAACATGATGACTGAGTCCATTAGTGATTCCGTGGTACATGTAAGCTTCTTCAAACTAAATCCAATATTACACCCTCCAATACATCCTCTCTTCTTCTGGTAATAGACATTTTTCCACCCTAAGCAAATACAATTCTTATTGTTGTTAGTAAATATACAGTTGCATATCAACATTTGTTACATTTTTCTAATAGTATCAATAATATCAGTTAGAATATCTTTTTTAACCAAAGCATATCTTAATTGCATTTGCACTCAATATCCATTTAATCAGTCCATATCTTATTTTTGCTTTTTTCAATTTTAATTTCCTATCCATGTTCAAAATATCATTTTTAATTTCAGAATAAGTTATATTTGGGTAACCAAAAGCTTCCCTTATTCAAAGTTCTTAGCATTCTTATTTCCCTTTTCATACCAAGATATGATATTCTGATTACAAAACCTATCTATCTAGTTATAATAATACTTCTATTTTTAACAATCTATTCTTAACCATATTCAAACATCTAATTGGTAATATAAAATCCCCTCTAATGGGTCAAAACTTCTATTTCCTTCAGTCTTATTCTAGCTTTCTTCCTTTGCCAACTAACTTTCCAAGTCAGTGCATTTGGATCGTCAAATAATTCTTCCTCTATTTTTATGTATATTATTTGAAACAAGATAAATAATTTAATTAAAGTATTTTTGGAAGAACTAACCTGTTGATATTCATTAAACAGCCTCCCTCCTTATCTTCAAGTATATTCTGAAACCTTGGTTTATAAAATGTCTTTTCCATTTCCAATATTATCGTTGTGTCTTCTAAGTCTTCATTTATCTGAGTCTGGTCATTAGTTTCTTCCTTTAGATCCTCAATGTTTGTATCAGCATTCTCTAATTTTCTTTCTATTTTCTGGGTTGCTGGTTCCTTCTCTGTAGTTATTTTCTGACTTTGTAGATTTAAATTAGAAAATTGTTTTTTTTTTTATCTCCTTTGTGTTATTTTTAATTTCATCACAAGTTAAAGCAATTGTTTTTTGTATTAATTTCAACATGGAGAGAATTTCTGTGGTTCATCAGTATTTTTTGGGTGATATGGCAAACTGAGGCTTCTAGAGACAGATGTTAAAGATGGTTTTTTACTATTTAGAGCTAAGTATGGAACATCCATTTTATTTTTTGTAAGTAATCTTTATAAATTTATCCAACCAATTAGCTATTCTTAAATCTCCCCTAAGCAGATATAAGTAAAATTCAAATTTTTCTGTCCAATGAGAACTATATTATTTCTGTCCAGGGAGAAAAAAGAACCATTAAAAGTTGTTTAACAATCAAGATTTATAATCCAAAGTGTTCCCTATGTTTCTTCTACAGGAAAATAGTTCCACAATACAGTTTTGAAAGTCAGTATTTGTGTTCATAGTTCAGACAGACCAATTTTAGAGTAATATTATCATCTCTGTCACACAGATAAGCAGCCCCCAAGTCTGTTCCTTTTTCTCAGCTGCAATTATCAAAAGTAAAAGCTTCCAAGGCCAGCCAAAGTCTTATCTAACTCTGGGCTTCGAGCCAGGTTTCTTTTAGGCATAAATAGGTTGTAGTGCTGTAATTCACCACTAGATGTCATCAACACCATTTTTCAGTTTTTAAATCCAAAACTTATATTGTAAACTTTTCAAGTTTTTTTTTAAAAAAGGTCTTAAAAACACTTTTAGCCCCACATTTTCAAGTTATATATATATATATATATATATATATATGTATATTAATTCCAAATTAGTCTTGTAGGTTTCTCCTTTTTCCCCAAGTAATGAATTTGCCACTTTCCTGAGGGAATGGGGTGGAAATTCCCTTTCCCTCCTCCTCGGGGGGAGTGCTTTGGGCAGATTTTCAGGAAGATGTCTTAAAGTCATAAAGAGAGGCTTAGGTCTCACCCAGTTTCATCCACGTTGCTGTAAGATTGCTTGACAGTGCTTGTTGTCTTCCATTGACAGCAGCTTCTGAGTTGGTATGCGAATGTAGCCAGTCTTTTCCCCGCCAGTTTGGAGGGCTTCCTCATATCAAACGGGAGGGCTGCTGCCCCCCCCTCCTGCCATGATCAACAACAGTCCCCTCCTTGATTGCCATCTCTACAGGGCAACTTTTGACCCTTTCCAGGGTTCCCCAGCGGGGCGAAATCAAACGCGAAAGATGGAGCCCCATCTTCCTGCATCTGCATCGCTGTGACATCAAAACTGGAAGCCAGCACTGTTGTAACTTTGAATGGTCACTAAATGAATGGTTTTAAGTTGAGGTGCATCTATATAAAAGTATCTTGCTTTATTTATAAAACACTCCTGAAAAGACAGTTTGTCTGCAAACACAAAGCTGAAGATGAGACCTAGGAAAGCATTGTCATTGCTCTGTGATTTAATCAGTGCCTTTTCCTTCACAGTGTTGAGCATTCGAGGAGCTCAGGAAGAGGAACCCACAGACCCACAGCTAATGCGGCTGGACAACATGCTGTTAGCAGAAGGGGTAGCTGGTCCTGAGAAAGGAGGTGGCTCTGCAGCGGCAGCGGCAGCGGCAGCAGCCTCAGGGGGTGCTGGTTCAGACAATTCTGTAGAACATTCTGACTACAGAGCAAAACTCTCACAGATTCGGCAGATCTACCACACAGAGCTGGAGAAGTATGAACAGGTACCTGTGACATTTCTTCCTCTGTTGCATGAGCCAAGCCGTAGTATTAGGTTGGCCTTATCTATAGCACTATCCTCTGTCCTCTCTTGGCTCAGGGATGGAAGGTGCATCTTTTGACTGAAGGACTTGGCAACTGTTTTTATTCCTTCTGCTGCTGAATATATGAAATGGCCATATACTATTTTATTTCATGTAGAAAAATAGCATACAAGAAAAATCATATAGGCTGAACCCATCCTTCTGAGATGCTAATTATTTAATATATAAGAAGACATTATGTTCATGGGAAACATTCCAATGGGCAAGCCTTCATGCCCTCCCCCATTTCAAATGATGCAGCTCAGAAAAAGTATTACCATTTGGAAACTGTTAAACATTTAAATTGGACCTGAAGTATTTGCAGTTAACATAATGGGTTTCAGCTGTGAAGTCAGAGTTGCTATGATCCTATCTTAGGTCAGCCGTTTCTCCTTGAAAAGAAAAAAGCATAAAAGAGAAAAAATGGTTTAAATTTAACTAACACATTATTGTGTGCTTTGAAAAACACAATAAACAAATTATTCTTTAGGAATATGCTTTTAAAATACCTGTACTTTTTAAAAAGGCTCATTTTCAAATAAATGTAAAAATAATTAAAATAAGTTTAAAAAAAATAAACAAAAACCAATACTGCATTTTAGTTTTCACAGCAATTGACAAACAATCATATAAAAATATTTTATTAAATAAACTCAAGGATCTGGGAGTTGTAACTCTGCTACATGAATGCTTAACAATCCAATACTATTGTCAGAATCCAGTTATATTTCCTTTCTATCTATCTTCTCTGATCTAAAACCAATTCTTACCCTTCCCTGGATCCTGCCATATTCCCAAGGGAGAGGGGGGATATGTATGCGGGTTTATTACTTTCACTTCCTCCATTCACTACAAAGTAACCTTTTGTTTATTTGCCTTAGTGTCTGCTAACCTTTACAATGTAACAAATTGCCTCCTATCCTATGCCCCCCCTGAACTTCTCCTCCCTACCAGGCAGCTAGGAAAAGGGGGGAATGAAGAGATACAAACCTCCAGGATCTGGTTTATTTCTCTGTCATCAAAATAAGGTGTGAAGAGTTGTTGAATGATCGTGCACAACGGAGCTGGACTAATGTTATCTTTCCTGGATTTAACAACTGGGGATTTGCCAGTTTTAACTGCGTGAAAGAACTGTGGGATGGGGTTTGCTTAGGGACACTTTAAAACATCCATCTGTAAGGGAATCCCTTAGATTCTGTCTTTTATGCCTGCTATCGATTACTCTTTTTTAAAAAAAACAACAACAAATTTTATTAGTTTTTTTTAACTCTTACAACAAAATGCTCAGGACACACCGTGGTGCTGGGGTGGTCAAATATCCAACAATAAATCCATATAAAATAACCCAAGTAAATACATTAAATATTCCCTCTCTATTTCCCTCAGATAATATAATATATTTAAAATAATCCATTTCTACATTAAATTTCTATAAATCCTAATCCTGTTTTTAAACTTTATTAATTTACAATTACCATAATCCACTTTAACCTTAAATAAACATATTATCACTTTGGGTATCTCTTCCAAATGTATTCTAGTTCTTAATCTCCTAAATCCTTAATTTTATCACGAATCTCTCTTATTTCTTCTTCCACTACTCGATATTTATCCTAATTAAAATAAAATATAACTCTACCCTATACATATACCATCCATCAATCAGTCTATCTCTATAACAAAACAAAATACCAGACCTTAAACCATTTCAGTCCATTAGGCAAAATTCAAATCTCATCCAAATAGTAATCATATCTAGAAATACCCATAACACAAAGCATCTTCTTACTAAATTTACTCAACTAATTATTAAATCAATCCAAATCACTATGAAACCTCTTCCATTTTCATTCATTCCATTACAAAATAGTTTTCATACAAATAAACCTATTATTCCAAAAATTACATTCTTAATCTATTTAACATATATATTCTAGTAATCACCAATTTTTCTCTCACTTCTAACTCTAAGTCTTAAACCTTAAATCAATCCATATTTCTACAGTGCCTTTTAATCCATTACATATAGTTTTAAATTTCTCTTTTCAGTCTTATTCTGGCTTTCTTTTTGTGCCAGGCCAGTTTCCATAACAAAGCTTCTATCTTCGCAAGTAAATCTCCCTTTGTTGCTTGTAATATCATTTGAGTCACTAGAAAACACCCCATCCTCTGTAATGGGCATGTGGCTCTTTTGTCATTAAACAATCATTGCTTCAAAAGTTCCAGTCTCAATCTTTGGTTCTTCTGATCCTCGAGAATATGGATGGAGTGCTTATAAGGTAAAATAGATTCCTCTTTAATCTCAATCAGTTCTTCTTCTGGTATATTTTTGATTTATAGCATAGTCAGATGAAGTCTGGAGATCAGTTTGAAGGTTTGGAGAATTTTGAGTAAGGCTTCTGGCTCTTATTTCTGTAATAATCTCTTTCATTTTAGCGCATACTTCTTCAGTAGCTTCATAAATTTTTTCCACTATTTTTTCCAGTTTAGTTGTAAATAAGGTTTCTCCATTTTAGTAGTAATTGAAGAGAGTCCCTTTTATCATTTAGTGGAGGCTATATATAAACAATATCCACCCCCACAATTTCCCACAGCTAGATCAGCTTATCTTTTCTATTCAAGAATAGTTTGAAGGTCAAGCCCACCTCATCTCCAAAGAAAAACAGATAATTGCAATATTAACTTTTCGCCACAAGATATCCTCAGTAGGTTACAAAATCTTTTCCAGACACCTTTTTTTTCTTTTCTCTCTCTTTTAAAGAAAAAGGTGGAAAAAATATTCTTCCAGTTTAAAGTGATAGTAAGGCTCTAAAAAAAATTTTTTTTTGTACCTCAAAGTAAATGAAAGTAAAATATAGTCATGAAATTACTTGTTCTGTCTTTTTATTCAGGCGCCTTTTTTTCCACACATACAAATGCCGCTCTTTCAAGGCAGGGAATTAATTCCAGCAGAGCTTTTACAGGCAAAAAATCAAGTAGGGCGAAGAGAGGAGAGGGAGAGGTCTGACCCAGATCATCCGCGGTGGGTCTTTCATGCTTAGATGTACCTGTGACTTTTGGCTGGTACAGCTAAGGAATCGGCCATCTTGCAGGACAATCTTTGCTCCGTCGGCCCTAAGAAGTTAGCTGGAGCCGCGGAAGAAGCTGCTGCCCTCCTGCAGTCACCAGCAAGCCTCCTCCTCAGTGGTCGCCCCTCCAGGGCAACTTTCGACCCACTAGGGGTCTACCTGCGAAGAAAACACAGCCGGTGGAGAGATAAGTCTCTTCAAACGACTGGAGTCACCGTGAAACAGAACCGGAAGTCCAATTATTCTTAATAAAAGTTCCTGTTGGAAGAGATTGTTTCTGAGAGTTCTGCTTTCTTAAGATGTAGATTGAAGTGGTTCCTTATAACTATAGTTATTTTTCTATTATCCAGAATGTTGTTCTCTATTATCCAGTCTGACCTTCAGATATGGGCAAGCTTTCCCCCTCTTCCTTTCCCTTCTGTTCTAACAGAAATACATTCCCCAATTGACAACTTTTCCCTTCTTACTGACAACTTCTGTAGTCCAAACACATGAGAAATTTACACTCTGTTGTTGAAAGTTTGGTTTAAAGTACCAAAAGATGTTTCCTTAATAAAAAAAGTTTTTAAAAATATTACTATATTCAACAATGTGGAACCTATAAATTTTATAAATAAATAATAATAAAATAAATAAATTCTTTTTCAGCCTAATAGACACATAGGACTCCAGCAGCATATATTAAATGTCATCCTATTAGGGCAATTCGGAAATAAATCTCCATTTGGTTATCAATGACAGACACTCACAGATACAGAACTTTTATTATACACATTAGAAAATTACAACATTACATTACTTTTCAACATAATCACCATTCAAATTGCAGCACTTGTCATAACAATTATAAGATTTGAAATTCCTTAGACGTAGTCACTCAGCGCCAAATCTGGGCTACGTGTGTGTGTGTGTGTGTGATCAAAAACATCCCAACAGAACTGCTTCAAATGTTCTTGGGTGCATCTAGCATTGTGCAGGCAAGCATTATGGTGAACCAACACCACACCAGAAGTCAGCATGCCCTGATGCATGCTATGGATGGCTCGTCTGAGTTTTCATAACATTTTATAGCAGACTTCTGAATTGATGGTCGAACCACACTGCATGAACTTCGCTAGTAGTATTCCTTTGGAATCTTCATATTTGGCAGGATTTTCTATGGCACCACTTCCGGTGTGGTGTTGGTTCATGATAATGCTCACGCACACACTGCTGGACGTACCCAAGACCTTTTGAAGCAGTTCCATTGGGATGTTTTTGATCAACCCCCTATAGCCCAGATTTGGTGCCGAGCGACTATTAAGGAATTTTAAATCTTGTTAAGTCATTATGACAAGTGCCTCAATTTGAACAGCAATTTATGTCGAAAGGTAATATAATGTTGTAATTTTCTAATGTGTATAATAAAAGTTTGTATCTGCAAGTGTCTGTCATTGATAACCAAACAGAGGTTTATTTCCAAATTGCCCTCATATAAGTAGGAGGGAACAGCACTGCAAATCATGCAATGTCAGAGGGCTTTCTCATTTTCACTGAACTGAATGGTGTGCACAAGAGATACTTGCACATCTACTATTTAGAAGGTTAAAAAAATAACCAATTTACTCAAGCAAAAACCTCCTTCCTTTATTGAGAACTATTCTCAACAATGTTGAGGGCTTATTTTGTATCTTCCACATGACTTGCCTTCATAGAATTCTGAGGATCCGGTGGCAGGATAAGATACCAGATACAGATGTCCTCTCCAGAGCAGGCTTATCATCAATTTACACTCTGTTGATGAAAGCCCAGATGTGCTGGGCAGGCCATGTTGTAAGGATGCCAGATCATCGCATCCCTAAACAGCTCTTCTATGGTGAGCTGTCTCAAGAAAAATGATCACACGGGGGACAAAAGAAGCGATACAAAGACACGCTGAAAGCCTCTCTCAAGTCCCTGGATATTAATACCATCTCTTGGGAACTTCTGGTACATGATCGACCGACATGGTGCACCTTGGTGTACCAGGGTTACCAGACATATGAACACAGAAGGACAATCCTGGCACAAGAGAAGTGAGCACTCCACAAAGCCAGAGATGTAAATGCTGAAGTAACAGTGTCTACATTTCTTTGTTCACTATGTGGTAGAACATTCCGTGCTAACATCGGTCTTATCAGCCACCTACGGACACATCATTGATGGCCCATAATCTACAAGATGTCAAGGTCCTCATCAAAATTGATGGACGAACAACAACCTTCTGTCATATATCTGGAAGAAATGCATGTGTGAGAGAGGGAGAAAGTGAAATTTCCACTGAAATTTAACAGCAACATTTTAGCAGCAGATCACTTAAAAGAGCCTAAGATCTAAGATGATAGGCAATTTAAAACTTACGGAAGAACTTTGTATAAATAGAACTTTACAGATGTTTTACAATTGATCTATTTAACTTTTGTTATGCTTTCAATTGCATCCTTGGCTACACAATAATTGAGATTTAAGAAAAAACTGAGATTTAAGAAAAAAAAATGCCAGCCTAAATTATATATCAGAGTACACTGTATACATGTTTTTTTTTCCCTTGATGATTCCATGGAAGCTTATTATAGCTGAGTCAGAATGTGTGTTTAATATACATTTATGTATGCAAATTTGTTAAATATTTATATCTGTTTTCTTCCCTCACTCCCCTCTCACCTTCCCTTGCCCCATCTTTAATATTGTACAGTGTTAATAATTTTTTGAGCTATTAAGCAGAAAAGTAGAAAGCTTTGAGGAAGCAAAGAAGTGTGTCATGCATTCTTAGAGCTGTAACATGCCGCCATACCATGACTTGTTAGGTCCCAAGTGTTCTTCATTCTTTTTCTCCTGTGTCTCAGGCATGTAATGAGTTCACAACCCATGTGATGAATCTGCTGCGGGAACAGAGTAGGACTCGGCCTATCTCCCCCAAAGAGATAGAGAGGATGGTCAGCATCATCCACCGCAAGTTCAGCTCCATCCAGATGCAACTCAAACAGAGCACGTGTGAAGCTGTCATGATCTTGCGGTCTCGATTTCTTGATGCACGGTGAGCTTTAGACCAGACATGTATACTTGCCTATTTGTCTATGACACTTAGGAATCATTTCCAAGGTAGAGAATTGATTGTCCCCATAGACAGAATGTTAGTATCAAAATAATTAATGGGGAGGGGGAGTGAGCTAGTAAACACTTGCTTGGGCTAGACCCTTTTAATTTTTAAATTATTTATTTAATTTGCAACTACAACAATAATTTTGATTAATACTTTAGTAGTTTAGTATCAAAATTTTCTAATTTACTACAGATCCTATGAGATATGAAGACTTTTCACTGCCTATAGAACAAATGGATTCTATAGAACAATGATTCACCATCCTATTTCTTCAACATATGAGCTAAGGAGCACGATGGCTCACATGGTTAGGACACTGGGTTGGAAGTTAACAAGCCTGTGTTTGAGACCTGAGTGCTGCTGCATGGCGGGGTGAGCTCCCATCATTCCACTCCAGCTCCTTGAGAGGAGCCTCCCCTCCTCCGAGCCATCCCCCAGGCAATGGTAATGTCACCAGCTAATCCTTTCAGTTTGGAAGCACCTTAAACAAGTGCCTCCAACATAAATAGGTCGGGAACATGAGCGTTACTCGATCCTTTTTGGAATAAAACCTTTTTCAGTGAATAAATTACAGGCAGTCCTCTATCTACAAGTGGTCACTTAGCAACTGTTTGAAGTTATGATAGACCTCCCAAAATCTACTTATGACCAGATTCCAGAGCCCCGATGGCTACATACACCCCTGCACCTTAGGCACTTGGCAACTGGCTCAACTTTATGGTTGATTGCAGTAGTTCACGGTCATGTAACTGACTTTTTGCCAGTTTTGCCACTCATAAATCGAGGATTATTAACTTTTACTAAAAGGAAATTATTGCTACATAGTTTCTGATACAAGAGATGCAGTAGATGAGTGATACAATTATTTCCCCAGAAATATAAGATTAAAAGTACATTAATAATTTAATTTGCCAGATCCAACACTATGTGCAAACAACTGCAACTTCTCTAAGTGACAATATTAGGAAAGTTTGCAGAATTGTATTTATTTTATTTATTTATTGTGAAATTTATTTGCTGCCCATCTTGTGTCCAATGACAACATAAACACATTAAAAAACATTAAAACCATCAATTATAAATAACACAGCAGATAAAATCATTAACATAAGATGGCAAAGGAGGGAGCTGGATATACGGGGAAAGGGAGGTGGCCAAATGAACTGATTCAGCCCAAAGTTAATATTTTTATTCTTTAAGAAATTGATTTTGTCTGAATTCAATCATAGTTTTTCATTAAATAATGAGTCAAACAATTTAACTGAGGAAAAACATAGCAGGATGGGCAACAACTTTACAAACCATATTTTTTCTGATCTATGCAAGGAACAGAATTAGATAGCTGAAAAAGTAAATTATACCTTATCAATTGGTAGCATTTTTTTGCTCTCAGAAAGGACAAATGAAAAGTGCTTTACAAGACAAAAAGTATCAGAAAACAACTACTGTAATTAGATTTGTAGTATAAGTATTAAGAAGATACCAAGTATATTAGAGTTTGCTCTAGAAAGTGAAAATCAGAAAAAAATATGACATATCTGAGCATCAGTTTGTTTGTAGGAGGAAAGAATCTCATGGCTCTGAACCTACCTTTTAAAAATAATGCTCTGGAATCACTGATACTGATTATCCTTCATGTTTTGTGACCAGGCGAAAGAGAAGAAATTTCAACAAGCAGGCTACAGAAATTCTCAATGAATATTTCTATTCTCATCTCAGCAACCCTTATCCCAGTGAGGAAGCCAAAGAGGAACTAGCCAAGAAGTGTGGCATCACAGTCTCACAGGTAAGAAACCTGGATGCTCATCTATAGGGTGGCCATCGCCCATATAGAAACTGAGATTATATTATTTGGATTAGAGCCATTATTTTCCAACTGCATTCTGTACAACCCTTTGATTTCTTGGCAGCTCAGCTGGAATTCCTAAAGAGAGTAATAATAGACAAACCAGAATGCAAAGAAGAGCAAGTAAAATGATAAGAGGACTGCATGAGAAATCATACAGGGAGGAGGGGGTTGACTTATTCTCCAAAACTCCCAAGCGCTGGAGAGGAAGCAATGGGTGCAAGCTTGTTAAAGAGATATACTACCTGGAACTAAGGAGAAATTTCCTGACAGTGAGAATAATTAACCAATGGAACAGTTTTCCTCCCAGACTTCAGGGTGCTCCATTACTGAAGGTTTTCAAGAAGAGATTGCCTGGGATGATATAAGGTCTCTAGCCATGGGCAGACAATTGGACTAGAAGACCTCCAAGGTCCCTTCCAACTGTATGATTTATGATTCCTTGAAAGATTTGTTTGCAACTACTAAGTATTTTCACCTTCAATGTAAGGAGAGGATGTGATTGGGTGTCTTTGGATAATATTCTTTCTGCACAGGAAATATTAATCAGATGCATGTGAACTGAAAATTTATCCAATAAAATTTGCCAGCAATGTTCAATGAATTTTAAGGCAACTTCTCTGCTGATGGTAGGAAATCTAAAAAACAGTGTATTTCAATTTTTATTAAGGCCACATGGCACTGTGTATTGAGAGCAAGGCTGGATTTTCAAAATTATTTCTACTATGCCAAACAATGCACGGAATACATTGTCTCCAGTTACTGTTCAGTGTATAACATTTATTTCTGAGCTTGCACAGACTTTCCAAATTATTATGCTTTTTAAAGTCAGTTTGGTGGACTAACTGGATGTCTGTACGATGCAGAATTCTAGCCAACTCAGTTGTTATTTACATCCTGGTGAGACTTTCTTTTTGCCCCACTATTTCTAGTAGCTGTGAAGAATGGTTCATCGGTTTTTGCTGAAATTAATGTTATTCCCAACTTTGCCAGCCTTGCAACAAAGCCTTTATTTTGATATGAAAGATGCTGATATGAAAGATGCAACAAAGCCTTTATTTTGATATGAAAGCAAAGAATATAATGATTTTACCAGTACCATATAGTTTGTTAATGGAGACACAATTGGGAAACCTGCAGAACCTGCCAAAAAGGATCTGTTCTGATTTGTTAATACCTTTCAAATGATGCTGAGTGGGTAAATTTGTGCTTTATAATGCTGTAGCCTAAGATTTTTGTTAAGGCTTTGCACGATGTAAATGACATTCTGATTATCCCACAAACTGTTTTCCAGCACAGCTGCCTTGAAGATACAATCATCTTTTGGGAGAAGTCCAACAAGAGAACCTGGTTCTGATTAAATTACTGCTTTATCATGGTTTGAAGCTTACAGAAGGCAGATTTGTGATATTATCTTTAATTACTATACTAGATATATTTATTACTATAAAAGTTAATATTGTAATTAAGGTCCTGTCAGCAGAATTTGGTTGTTTGACTAGTTGTAGCTCTACACTTTTATTGTAAGGAATCAAGAGATAATGCTTCATCAAAGAACTGAAACATTATGAAAATGGACACGGCCTTTGTAATGTATTGGCCACAACTGTTTTAAATCATTTGCTTAATGTCTGACCTACATTGCTGTATTGTTTAACAGTTGCTGTTACTGAAAGCCAGACTGGCTGTCTCCAAGCTGATAATGAAGTTTGGGGCAGGAAACTGTTACTTTAAACCTATTGGTTGAGACTTCCGGTTTGGGAGACAGCACCTCTAGCTGTACAAGGAGAGTCGTCTCCTCAGCAGCTAGTTTCCCTCCGCTGGTAGACCCTTATGCAGGTCGAAAGTTGCCCTGGAGGGTGCGACTACCGTTGAGGAGGCTGTGTTCGGCTGCGGAGGAGGGCGGCTCCCCCAGCTGGCCGAGTGAACTCTGGGGGCCGACAGAGAAGAAGATCGGCCAGTAAAATGGCCGATCACCCAGCTGCACCAACCGCAAGTCAAAATAACAACTAAGCATGAAGACCTACCATGGTGAATCTGGGTGAGACACTTTTTTCTCTTGCTACTCTGATTCTTCCTATAAAGAGCTCTGACTATTTCCCTTTGCTAAGAAGGCGGTGGCTGACTATATCGGAAAGAGAGCTTAAAAGAAAAGAAGAAGAAAACTCTTTGTTTTGGTTGTTTTTTCTACCATTGGATTCTCTTTGTGGGGATATTTGGGGGAAAAGAAGGGGAAAAAAGAGGATATTGCTATTTGTCTCTATCAACTTTATAATCTTGGAGATACGTTTCTTGTTAAACTTTTAAATAAGACTGAAAAAAAAAACTTTTTGTTCATTAACTTTATCAGTGTGGGAAAAAAAAGATCTTTCAGTCCACTGAGGACATCTGGTGGCCAAAAGTGACATTATAACTCTATCTTTGTGACTGGAAGAGGGATTGGCTTTCATACAATAGTAAAAGAGAAAAGATAATCTGACATTCAGGCGGTGAAGCTTGCTATTAGACTTTTGGAGGTGGATATTTGTGGACTTTTCTAAAATATAATTTCTAATAAAGAAACAGGCTTGTCTACTACCACAATGGAAGAAAACATTCCACATCTTAACTATGATTTAATATTGGAGAAAATTTTTGAAATGACAGAAGACTTCAAAACTTATTGGAAATCTAGGAGACATTCTAAAGATGCCATCTTGGCACTTCCAACTGACCCTCTAATAATGAATCAAGCCATGGAACAAGGAACACCAGAGGAACAACAGAGCAATTCTGAACAGGCTTTCACACATCAAGACACATATTTTAAAGAGACAGAGATATTATGCTTACAACCCAACGATGAATCTACGCTGGGAGAAAAGGTGGTAACCACTGAGCCAATCAATTCTACACAACGTTATCTACAACGGATGGATAACTTGGATGATCAAGAACTAACTGTAACTGACTCAGTTCAAATATCAAAAATAACAAAGATTGACACTCAGATACAACTTTCTGGAAAATACAACAAAGCGCATAACTTATTCATAATTATAACATGGAATAAAAGTCAATACAATATTCGGATGATATTGGCAGGAAGAGAAGAAAATTTTGCTCAGTTTGAATTGGTTAGAAATTTTTGTAATCAAAGTTTGAGGTTTGATAATCGAAAAGTTTTATTATGCGAATTAACTTGGCATAGAAAGAAAGCTAGAGTCAGGTTTAAATGTGAGATAAAACGCTACTTGATGGGTTAAAAAGGCTTTAGAGATTTTGTCTGATTTAATAACGAAAGAAGGATGAGAATTGACTGTTATTATAGTTGATAATTATTAGGGAGTAAACTTGTTTAGGGGTTAAAAAGATTTTATAGATGTAGAGTGATGAAATGATAGAACATGTTTTTAAAAATAGGAATTACATTATTATTTTAAATATGATAATTATTTTGAAATAGAGAGAGAATTTTTGTCTGATTTAATAATGAATGAAGGCAGAGAATTTCTTGACATTATACTTGATAAGTATTTGAAGGTGTAAACTTCATAAAAGGGCTTAAAAAGATTTTTTATAGATATAGATTGATGAAATTATAGAATATATTTTTAAAAATAGAACTGTATTTGTTGGATTTATATTGTTATTTTAAATATGAAAAATATGTTGTAAGAGCTACATGTGATAGGGAAAAAATTAGTCTTAATGATTGATCTAATATTAAGGATACCTGAAATCCCAATTAGATGTTTATTGAAATGTAACTGGAATATGACAATTGTAATTAGTAAAGCTTAAAACAGGATATAGATTATCATAATTGCAAGGTGATTGAGGATTTTTCTTTGATGGAACTTTATCCAAAATTGTATTAATTTTAATATTATTCCTTATAGAGAGGAAATTGTTTATAATTAATTTGAGCTATATGTATATGATTTTGTTCTTGAATGATTTGACACTCTGACCACCACATTGTGTCCTAAGCTTTTGTAAAAAATGGAAAAAACTAATAAAACTTTTATTAAAAAAACCCCTATTGGTTGCCACCTAGAAGCTAACAATGGAACTGCATCTACATGGAGGGAAGTGTGTAGTGGGGTGCCCCAGGGCTCTGTTCTGGGCCCAGTGCTCTTCAACATCTTCATCAACGATTTGGACGAGGGGATAGATGGGGAACTCATCAAATTTGCAGACGACACCAAGTTGGCAGGAATAGCCAACACTCCAGAAGACAGGCTTAAGATACAGAAGGATCTGGACAGACTTGAACACTGGGCACTATCTAACAAAATGAAATTAAATGGTGAAAAAAGCAAGGTTCTACATTTAGGCAAGAAAAACCAAATGCACAGGTATACTATAGGGGGTCATCTTGCTCAATAGTTGTAACTGTGAGAGGGACCTCGGAGTCCTAGTGGACAATCACCTAAATATGAGCCAGCAGTGTGCTGCAGCTACCAAAAAGGCCAACACAGTGCTATGCTGCATTAACAGAGGGATAGAATCAAGATCATGTGAAGTGTTAATACCACTTTACAATGCCTTGGTAAGGCCACACTTGGAATACTGCATCCAGTTTTGGTCACCGCAATGTAAAAAAGATGATTAGGGGACTGGAGGCTAAAGCATATAAGGAACAGCTGCTGGAATTGGGTATGTCTAGTTTAACGAAGAGAAGCACAAGGGGGGGACATGATAGCAGTGTTCCAACATCTCAGGGGCTGCCACAAAGAAGAGGGAGTCAAGCTATTTTCCAAAGCACCTGAAGGCAGGACAAGAAGCAACGGGTGGAAACTAATCAGGGAGAGAAGCAACCTAGAACTAAGGAGAAACTTCCTGACAGTTAGAACAATTAACCAGTGGAACAACCTGCCTCCAGAAGTGGTGAATGCTTCAACACTGGAAGTTTTTAAGAAGAGACTGGACAGCCATTTGTCCGAAATGGTATAGGG